TGAATTAATTAACTCATTAGTTATTGAGGAAAATGAAAAGTTTGTCATTCGTGAAGGTGGTCATACAATCGGCCAAGGAACAGTTTTAAAGACTCTTGAGTAAAATTAACATAGCAATTTCCTAGCAAAAAGAAGGCTCAAAAATTCACTTTTAAATTGGAAAGGGGGGAATAGTATTTACTTTATTTGGTTTGTTCTTCGGATGGGTTTTTTAAAAATTTTAAAAAGTCTAAGTTCTGCCAAAAACTTAGGTCATTCCATTTAATTCATGTTTATTAGATAGCAATGGAAAAGAAACTAATTGCCCAAGCCAAAAGAAATCTCCGAGATTATAAAATAATTGAAAGGTTTGTAGCGGGTTTAGTGTTAACCGGCAATGAAATAAAGTCACTTCGCAACCATCAAGTTTCGATTGGCGAGGCTTATGTTTTGCCTCAACAAAAAGAGTTGTATGTGATTAACATGAATATTGCAACTTATTCACACGCTAGCGATTTAGGGAAGGTTGATACCAGGAGAAAAAGAAAATTACTTCTAAAAAAGCGGGAAATAAACAAATTGATTGGCACGATGAAAGCCAAAAATTATGCTCTGATACCGCTGCAACTTTTTATCAATAATAAGGGCTGGGCAAAATTGGAAATTGCTCTCGCTCAGCATCTACGAAAATACCAAATCAAAGAAAAAATCAAAGAAAAGGAAATGAAAAGGAAACTCCGTCAGGAGGACTTTTACTAAAAAACATTCCTCCACTGCATATTAACAAACAAAAAAACGCGAAGTCAAAATAAATAAGAATGAACGACTAATTTAGATCCCTAAACTGCCTTAAAAAACGAATATCGTTTAGGTAAAAATGACGAATATCTTCCACTCCTTTTTTAATCATTACTAATCTTTCCACCCCCAAACCAAAAGCAAATCCAGTAAATTTTTGACTGTCAAATCCACAATTTTTTAGCACTTGGGGATGAATTAAACCAGCCCCTAGTATTTCGACCCAACCGGTTTTTTTACAGATATTACAACCTTTTCCTTGACAAGCAAGGCATTGAGCATCTACCTCTACACTTGGCTCAGTAAAAGGGAAATATGAAGGGCGAAAACGAATCGGATGGTTTTCACTAAACAATTTTCTTAAAACCAATTCCAGGGTGCCTTTTAGTTGAGAAAAAGAAACATCCCGACCAACTACAAATCCTTCGATTTGAGTAAATTGGTGAGTGTGGGTTGCGTCATCCTCATCTCGTCGATAAACCTTGCCAGCGGTAATAACTTTTAATTCCTGATTAGGATTATTTTCCATCACCCTTATTTGCGTATTGGAAGTATGAGTGCGGAGCAGTAAGTTAGAATTTAAATAAAAAGTATCGTGCATGTCTCGGGCAGGGTGTTCGGGTGGCATATTTAACTTGTTAAAATTATATTCTTCATTTTCTATTTCTGGACTCTCAATAATCCGATAACCAAGTGGTAAGAAAATATCATAAATTTTTTGGATAATTTGGGTCAGGGGATGGAGATTAGCAAGCGAAATTTTTTTCCCTTCGAGGTAGATATCTACCCGGTCTTTTTTTAACTCTTTTGCCTGATTTTGCTCTTTTATCTTTTTTTCTATTTCCTT